CTTTTTCTCCAATTTTCCTCTTTTTCTCCAATTTTCCTCTTTTTCTCATTTGCCAATTTTCTCTCCTTTTGTAGGTAACCGTAATACTAAATCATTCTGTAGTTCCAAGCAGCAGCTAAAATTGAGTTTCAGTAAGTTTTTTTGACCCCAATGGCACTGTTCCCATACGTAGCATTTCGTTGATGCTATCTAAAAAGATCCCATTCTATTTGGAAGTTTTTATCATCTTACTGAGCACATAGTTTTAACAAAGATAAGAGTTCAGCCACCTTTTTGACTGCAGCTTCTGGATGTTTTTCTCCTCAGCTCCACTGTCACATACAGCTGTTGTTCTTTGTTGTTCTTTAACTAGTCAAGGGGGCTGATGTTAGGCAGAATTTCTTGAATTCAAAAGACTGTTAGTGTCACTGAGCTTCAAGTTCTCCCCCTTAATGCTGCCAAAAGCAAAATTGTATCACATAGCTCAACAAATTGCATTACGTGAACTGTTTTTAAGTTGCAAAACTCTCCAATGTTTTCAATTATAGATGTCCCTTATACAATCAACTGAAATCGTGACTTGTATCTTAACTCCCTAAAGTCTGTCCACCATCTACAACAATTCACAAGTTGAAAGTGTGATGGAACACTTTTTCCACTTGTTTGAAGAGGTAGAGCTGCAAAAAACACAAAAGCATGTTGACACCATCGATGACAAAGAGTCTACTTAACCAGCACTCCAACCACCACCATTCACTGTCCTTATTTTTAGACACTGACCTTCATCCTAGTCTCTTCCAGAAAGGGAAATATCCTTTCAGCATCCGTTTTGTGAAGCTCCCTCAGAATCTGTTATGTTTCCATAAGATCCTCTTTCATTAAATTCTAATGGCTATAGCCTGCCCAACCTCTTCTCTTAAGATAATCCCCTGCCCATGTATCCCAGATGTCAATTGAGTGAACCTTTTTCAAACTGCTTTGTTAAATAAGGAGACTGAAACTGTGGTTGTAAAAGCAGATAGATCTGAACTCATCTAATAATGGCAAATCTTCTTGACTTCTTTTCCTTTGCAATGAAATGCCATATTCGACTTGCCTTCCTAACCACTTGCTGCACCTGCACTCTAACTTTTCATGATTTATGTACCAGGACACTCGGATGTCTGTAGCTCAGAGTTCTGCAAACTCTCACTATTTAAATATGTTGCATTTCTGTTCTTCCTGCTGAGGTGGACTCATTTTCCCACTTTAGATTACATCCGTCTTTTTTCTTGCTTTCTAACTTAATCTCTCCATGTCCTTTTCAATCTTACGTCCCCTCCACTGCTTACTTTCCTACCTACCTTTTGTATCATCAAATTCATTTACCATACATTTGGTCCCCTTCTTCCAAGGCATTTATTACATGACTCATTAATGTCATTACCATGCAAAAAGTATTATATAATTAATGTTTTTTACAATTAAAATGGAGGAGAGCAACATTCATAGCTGTAATAAGAATTAATTGCAAATGTTGACGGAGACTGAATCAGGATTTCTGATTCAACCATCAGGCCCTGTGAAACTTTTGGCATATTTGTTCAGTGATTCCATATAATTTCTGATGAGAGACACAGTATTCTGTATTGCCCGTATACTATAAATACTATTTTGTATGAAACAGAGTTCTGACTGACTATTAGAACCTTAAAAAAATAGATGGTTTTTTGAATTGCAGGCTTTTTTAACCAGTAAATTCAAACTTTTAAAATCCTTTTACATGCAGATAATTTAAAGATCAAACAATATTTTAGAGTTTACTTATAGGACTGATTTTTGTAACCACCTTCAAAATTTTAAATTTGAATATGACGTAACAAATCAAAGTAATGTAATTTTTAAAATTACCACCTTTTTTTAGAAACGCGAGAGAAGAAAACATGAGAGGATTTTGAGTGAAGCGCTGTTTTCTGCCATCACATATTTGAATCAATTTCTTCCACCAGAATACATCATTCAGTACATTGCATGGGATATGGCCAAATACACAAAAAGGTAAAATGTTTATTATAATTCTGATTAGAGGTTGTTTTAAATACATTTTGGGTTTGAGTTCCTGATCAAAATTTTTTTTCAAATTTGTCTTAGAGAATTCTGTTTCTTGAATAGGGTTTTTTCCCGAATAACTGGTTTTGCATCGTTACTTATGTCTAATTTAATTTGCTGTTACCTAATGCTTATTTATTGTTTCCAAGTTGTTCTTCAGACTGTTGTGATAGGTTTCATTGTGACATGGTATCATTTAGTCTCTTAATCCTGTTTTGAATTCTATCAGGATGGATATAACTTCCTCCTGCTAATTTGAAAGCTCTGCTTAGACAGTACATTTGAGAGAGGCAAAAGAATTGTCATGTATTGCCGCCTAAGGCTGAAAATGCTGTTTTAATCCAGAGGGCCTTTTTACACCAAATCTCTGACTGTACCTCATTATGACATTTAACAGCAACATCAGGTCCCAATTTCTTAAAAAAGTTCTATTTTCCAGTTCTGCACAATTATTGACTAAGATGTAACTTTAGAGTAAGTGGCTAAAACTACAGCTAAAAGAAAACTCATAATAGGCTAATGTTATACCATAATATTTACGCTGGTAGCTCTGTAATTTTAAATTGATCTCCTATGATGGAAGTCATCTTGCTGAATGTTATGACCTTCAGTTCGTTCTGTTATTAGTAGCCTTTTAGTGACTTCTGTGCATTGAAATTAACATCAATTGTGATAAGCTTTGTCTGGTAATTTTATGTGGGATTCTCAATATATTCTCTATCCACCAGATGACTGAAAAAATCATTTTAGACACGTCATACACTCAAAAAATTATTTCCGTTTCTAATGTTTTAAATGAACTCATGGGATGTGGGCGTTGCTGAACCACTGAAGTCCATGTGCCTTAGGTAAACCCACAATGCACTGCGGGAGGGAATTCCAGGATTTTGACCCAGTGACAATAAAGGAAAAGTGATATATTTCCAAGTCAGGATGGTGAATGGTTTGGAGAGGAATTTGCAGGTGGTAGTGTTTCCATGTATCTGCTGCGCTTCTCCTTCGAGATGATAGCAGCTGTAGGTATGGAAGGTGCTATCCAATAATCTTTGGCGAATTTCAGCAGTGCACCTTGTCAGTGGTACAGACTGCTGCTATTGTGCAGAAATGATGGTAGTGGAAGGAATGGATGTTTGTGGAAGTGGTGCGAATCAAACAGGTGAATTTGTCCTGATCGTTATTGAGTCCCTTGCGGCTTATTGGACCTGTAGCCATCCAGGCAAGAGGGGAATATTTTATCACGTGTGCCTTCTAGATGTAGACAGGCTCTGGGGAGTCAGAAAGTGCATTACTTACTGCAGGATTCCTAGCCTCTGACCTGCTCTTGTAGCCACAATATATATATATGGCTAATCTAGTTTGGTTTCTGGTCAGTGGTAATCCTTGAATATTGATAGGGGATTCAGTGATGGAAATTCCATTGAATGTCAAGGGGTGATAGTTATATTGTCTCATAGAGATTGCCTGGTAAATGTGTGGTGCAAATGTTATTTACCCATTTTCAGCCCAAGCCTGGATATTGTCCGAGTCTTGCTGCATTGGGACGTAGACTGCATCGGTATCTGAGGAGTCACAACTGGTGCTGAACATAGTGCAATCATTGGCAAACATCCCCACTTCTGATCTTGTGATGATGGGTAGGTCATTGATGCAACTGATGGTTGGACCCAGGAACACTTGCAGAGATATCCTGGAGCTGGGATGACTAATTCCATCTTCCTTTTTTCCAGGAATGATTATAACCAGTGGAGATTTTGCCCCTGAGGGGAAATGCTGGCCTAGTGGTATTATCACTAGACTATTAATTCAGAGACCCAATAATGTCCTGGTGGGGGGACTTGGGTTCAAATTCTGCTATGGCAGGTGGTGAAATTTAAATTCAATAACATCTGGAATAAGGATCTAATGGTGACCATGAAACCAGTGTCAATTATGGAAAAAACCCATCTGGTTCAATAATGTTCTTTAGGAAAGAAAACTGCTATCCTTACCTGGTCTGGCTTATATGTGACTCCAAACCCACAACAACCCACAGAACTGCCCTCTGTGCAATTAGGGATGGGCAATAAATGCTGGCCTAACCAGGAGATAATTAGGGGGATGTATAGTATCCTTGTAAGCAGGATAGAGAGTGTGTTGCCTGTCCGGTGCCAGGGTAAGGGATATCTCTGACCGGCTTGAAAGGATATTGGACCGGGAGGGGCAGGATCTAGTTGTTGTGGTCCACGCCGGAACAGACAACATAGGCAAGACTAGGAAAGAGGACCTGTTCAGAGATTATCAGGAGCTAGGAGCCAAATTAAAGAACAGGTCCTCAAGGGTTATAATCTCCGGATTACTGCCCAAGCCACGTACTAATTGGCATAGCGACATGAGAATAAGTGAAGTAAACACGTGGCTAAAAGAGTGGTGCGGGAAAGAGGGGTTCCTTTTCATGGGACACGGGCATCAATATTGGAACAAGAGGGATCTGTACCGTTGGGCCGGTCTCCACCTGAATCAAGCTGGGACCACTGTTCTAGCGAAAAGGGTAAATAGGCTGGTCAACAGGACTTTAAACTAGAAAGTTGGGGAGGAAGGGAATGGTGGAACTTGCCCCAGTGGGAAACAAAGCAGCAGGTTAATATCTGTAGTGGCGGATTCAACTACGTGGAAAAATATGAAAGAAATGACAGGGGAGGAGAACACAGGAGAGGTTATTAAAGTCTCCAGCACAGACACAAATAGGACCGAGTGTTTGGAAAGGGCTAGCAATCAAACACTGGAAAAACGAATGACAATGAGAAGAGGGGCGGTTAATACAGGACTGAAGGTGTTATATCTGAATGCACGCAGTATAAGGAATAAGGTAAATGAGCTTGTGGCGCAGATCGAAATTGGCAGGTATGATGTGGTGGGCATCACGGAGATGTGGCTGCAAGGGGATCAGGATTGGGAACTGAATATTCAAGGATATACATCCTATTGAAAAGATAGGCAGGTGGGGCAAGGGGGTGGGGTTGCCTTATTAGTAAGAAATGAAATTAAATCAACAGGAAGAAACGAAGTAGGGTCAGATGTGTAGAATCTGTGTGGATAGGATTGAGGAACCGCAAAGGTAAAAAAACCATAGTTGGAGTTGTGTACAGGCCTCCAAACAGTAGTCAGGAGGTGGGGCGCAAGATACACTAGGAGATAGAAAAGGTGTGTAAGAAAGGCAAAATCACAGTGATCGTAGGGGATTTCAATATGCAGGTGGACTGGGAAAATCATGTTGGTAGCGGATTGCAAGAAAATGAGTTTGTGGAAAATCTTCGAGATGGCTTTTTGGAGCAGCTTATGGTGAGCCCACAAGGGAGCAGGCAATACTGGATTTAGTGTTGTGCAATGAGGCAGACTTGATAAAGGAGCTTCAGGTGAAGGAGCCCCTAGGAGGCAGTGATCATAAGATGATAGAATTTACTCTGCAATTTGAGCGGGAGAAGATAGAATCAGAGGTAACGGTATTACAGTTGATTAAAGGCGAGTACAGAGATATGAGGGAGGAGCTGGGCAGAATTGACTGGGAGAGGAGCCTAGCAGGAAAGACAGTGAAACAGCAATGGCAGGAGTTTCTGGGAGTAATTCAGGAGACACAGCAAAAATTCATCCCAGGGAAAAAGAAGCATGGTACAGGGAGGATGAGGCAACCATGGCTGACTAAGGAAGTCAGGGATAGCATAAAAACAAAAGAGAAAGCATATAATGTGGCGAAGGGCAGAGGGAAACCAGAGGACTGGGAAGCTTACAAAGACCAACAGAGGGCAACAAAAAAAAATAAGGAAGGAGAAGATTAAATATGAGGGTAAGCTAGCCAGTAATATAAAGGAGGACTGTAAGAGTTTCTTTAGATATATAAAAGGCAAAAGTGGACATTGGACCACTGGAAAATGATGGTGGAAAGATAGTAGTGGGGAACAGGGAAATGGCTGAGGAACTGAATAATTATTTTGCGTCAGTCTTCACGGTGGAAGACACGAGTAATCTCCCAAAAATTCAAGAGAGTCGGGGCATACCTGAAATATGGTGGCCATCACCAAAGAAAAGGTGCTAGTAAAACTGATTGGGCTGAAGGTGGATAAATCACCTGGACCAGATGGACTACACCCCAGAGTCTAAAGGAGATAACTGAAGAGATAGTAGAAGCGTTAGTGGTGATCTTTCAGGAATCTCTAGAGTCAGGGAGGGTACCAGAGGACTGGAAAATCGCTAATGTGACAACACTGTTTAAAAAGGGAGTAAGGCAAAAGACGGAAAATTACAGGCTGATTAGCCCAACCTCGGTCGTGGGTAAGATTTTGGAGTCCATTGTAAAGGATGAGATTGCTGAATACTTGGAAGTGTACGGTAAAATAGGGCAAAGTCAGCATGGTTTCACCAAGGGGAGATCATGCCCGACAAATCTGCTAGAATTCTTTGAGGAAGTACCGAGCAGGATAGACCAAGGAGAGCCAATGAGTGTTATCTACCTGGACTTCAAGAAGGCCTTTGACAAGGTGCCGCACAGGAGGCTGCTGAGTAAGATAAGGGCCCATGGTGTTAGAGGCAAGGTGCTAGCACGGGTAGAAGATTGGCTGTCTGGCAGAAAGCAGAGAGTGGGGATAAAAGGGTCTTTCTCAGGATGGTAGCCGTGACAAGTGGTGTACCGGAAGGGTCAGTGTTGGGACCACAACTTTTCACTTTATACATCAATGATCTGGATGAAGGAACTGTGGGCATTCTGGCTAAGTTTGCAGACGATACAAAGATAGGTGAAGGGACAGGTAGTATTGAGGAGGTGGGAGGCTGCAGAATGATTTGCACAGGTTAGGAGAGTGGGCAAAGAAATGGCAGATGGAGTACAATGTGGGAAAGTGTGAGGTCATGCACTTTGGTAAGAAGAATAAAAGCATGGACTATTTTCTAAATGGGGAGAAAATTCAGAAGTCTGAAGT